AATGCTGCAGAGGCCTGGGTCGCCTTAGATGAGGTCAGGGAAGGCCTCGCTGAGATGGTGGCATCTGAGCAACATGACATCTGAAGGCGGCGAGGGAGGAGGCTGAGCCTCTCACCAGGAGGAGCAGTTCCAAGAAGAGGGAATGGCAACTGCAAAGGCCCTGAGTCAGGACTGTGCTTGGGTCCCAAGGGATGACAAGCATGCAGCAGTGTGCTGGTGAGGAGCAGAAGGCTGTGCAGACACACGAGGTACCTTGGGGGCAATTTCCCAGCCCTCACCCTGCTCGCCGGGCCTTGCAGTCTGAGAGCTGTTCCACCCAGTGGTGGCAATGCTGCCTAATTTCCACAGCAGCTGCTGGGGGCCGGATCATAGAGGCCGCTATAGGAGTGGGGCTTTTTTTCCAAATGAGACAGGCAGCCAATGGAGGATAAGCTTTTAAAGGATGGCTCGGCTGTGGTGCTGAGAATAGCGGTGCAGGGCTCAGGGTGAGAGCAGGAAGACCAGTTTGGAAACTGTAAAAGTCACCTTCTCCCTCCAGCCAGAGCCCACCTGGCTGCAGGCACTTATCCCCCGGTCACCACAGGCCATGCCCGTAGCGCGGACAGGAAGTCAAGGTCTCTCTCACCTTGGCCTCTGCTCACAGCCCCATGCCAAAAAGCTGGACGGGTGCCTGTTCATGGCAGGAGCCATAAGCAGATAAGTTTCAGTCTCACACATTGGAGGGAATCAGTTGTCAACAGCCTGTGGTCATTTCACTGACCCCAACCCTTCCTTTTCCCTTTTCCTCCCTTGACCCAGCCTCAATCTCCCAGTGGTGTCTCCTTGACCCTCACCTCCCAGCTCCAGTCAACCCTCATGCCCCTCATGTGCCAAGGGGTAGTGATATTCAGTCACATTTTCCACCCATGGCGACCAGAGTAGCCGGAAGCACTTTGCTCCATGGCACTCAGTTTTGTCTATCTCTGGGCCTCGGCGTTCTTCCCCTTCTTCTACCCCCTACACACACACGCTCTACCCTATCCCAGCATTTGCCCAGATATCAGGGGCCAGTTTGGTGACCCGACATTGACCTCCAGCAGGATTTGCCCTGCAGTCAGGTCACAGGTCAAGCTCTGGCCTCAACACCGCACCGCTCTGAGGGTGAGGGCCAGCCATGGAGCATGCAGAAGCCTGCGTGCTCCCTGGTGCTTCCCACCACCTCTTCAAAGGCCAAGTCCTTTATTGGGAGCGTCCAGCAGCCTCTGTGCCTTCACTTCTGGACAAAAGGCAATGCTGGATGGAGTTTCTACCACAGCTATTCCACTAGCCTCTGCCTGGTGATTTGGGCCCAAAGAGGACCTATCAGAGGTTTCTTCAGGGACCTAGGGAGACAGGCTTCCACAGCTCTGTCTGGCTCATTCTGGGCCCTGGGTCAGCTACAAGGACGAACTAGCACCAAATGCTACACTGTGGGCATACGCTATTCACATTAGCCCCAGAGACATTCACCAGCTCCGCTACAGTCGCCCTGCCTGCGTCTCCTGCCCTGCCTCTGAAGCTTCATCTCCACGTCTGCCCTCTGCCCTCTGTTATCTCGTTTTTCCCAGGAACTTGAGCCATTTGAAATTCCCTAAAGGTGTCACATTCATGCCTCCCCAGCCCATCTGTTTGGAAATGCCCCTCTGCCTGAAGAACTTGTTTGACTCTTCCTTTACCTTTAAGATGCAGACCAGACCTAGGGTGCCCCTGGAAACCCTCCTAGAAACCAGCAAGTGGAGCTCACAGCATCCTCCTTTGAGCTGCCATGGCCCATGGAGTACCACCCCTACTAAAACACTTGCCACATGCTGCTGTAATTCTCTTCCCTTTAGATACGGACCTGTATCCTTGAGGGCAGGACGTTTGTCCTAGTCACCCCTGCCAGTGTCTGGCATATAGCAGGTGCTCGATAGACTCCTCAGTAAATATTTGTGAGCTGGATGGGTGGACCAATGGATGAGTGGATGCTTGGGTAGAGTGATGCACGGCAGAGTGGATGGATGGATACATAGAGGGATGCATTAAATAGGCTGGCTGTGCGTGGATGGGGGGATGCATGGGTGAGTGGATGAATGGGCATGTGTGGAGGGTGGCTGGGTAGACGGGTACAGGGTATATGGGTGGATGGGTGAATGAAAAGCAATGAGTAAGAATGAGGTTTCCACACTGTGTAGCTGTTGATTATGTTCATATCCCTTATCTGCTTTCCTGCCTAAAGAAAAAGAAATGATTCCTCCCCAGAGGACAGATCATGGCCTACGTGAGGTACAAGCTTTCCTAAAATCCCAGGACACACACCTAGAACCGAGTGTGGTGAAGGGTGGCAAGGTACAAGGCCTTCTCGGTCATTTGGTCAGTGACCACAAGACTTTTCCTGCCCCTGGGGTACTCACCTTGTCGATGAAGGAGGCAAATTTGTTGTTGAGAACCATGATCTGCTCCCGTTCCTGAGACTTGACCCTCTGAATTTCAGGGTCTACCTCTAGATTAAGTGGCTCCAGGAGGCTCTGGTTAACGGTCACCTCTTGGATGCCCCCCGGGGGACAAGAAGGACCAAAGCTTCCAAGCCCAAAATTGCTAACCCCAAATCTAGCACCCCCAAAACTACCACCTCCAAAGCCCCTACCCCCAAAGCTGCCTCCCCCAAAGCCACCACCCCCAAAGCCTCTGCCCCCTCCAAATCCTCCTCCTGCTCCCCCACCCTGGCGGAAACCACTGGCACTTCTCTCTACTAGGTTAAAGGAGATGCTTTTACTGCCGCCCAGATTGTAAAGGCTCCTACTGCCAAAGCCCCTCCCATAGCCCCCATAGCCACCACCACCACCACCACCATACCTCCCTCGGGCCTGACGCACAGACCCCACAGCGCGACTCCCACCACCAGCACCTGCAGGACAGGCACTGCTACAAACACGCCTGCTCCTCAAGCTAAATGCAGACTGAGAACTGAACTGGCGGCTCATGGCTGCCAGAGCATCCAGAGAAGCAGACACAGCAAGGGCCCAGCTGGAAGGCAACAGAGACCAGGGAGGGCAGGAGCTATGACTCCCTGGGCAAAGGTCTGGCTCAGTCCCTATATATACACGTTTGCTGGGCTGGGCATCTTCAGAATGCTGGGAGGGGAGTATTTGTGTTTAGTTTGCCTGCCAGCAGCATCTGTTTAAAACCTCACACTGAGGAGTTGCAGAAATTACACCCTAGACAAACTTGATCATTTATCATTCATCTCTTGCCATCTAGAGATCAGAATGCAGTAGTATCTCAGGATCTAGTTGCTGGAAACTCCTCTACAGTTTTTCCCCCAAATTATTTGTTGATCTCTTCCTAAGAAACTCCACCAGTGAGTTGTTTGTTTTCGGGTGTGCCTGGGAGATCTGGGGCGAAGCTAGGGGGTATCTAGCCATCTCAGGACCACAACTGGGGCAAGGGTGGAGACTCCTGCTCTCACAGTGTTGTCCTGGTGAGGCGAGGGTTTTATTCTACCTCCCTACATCTGGATTCTGCTCCCTACTCTTATCACCATGCACACCCCAAATTTTATCACATAGAAACATGGTATTGTGGTCAGTGAGTGTAGGCAGAAGCCCAGGGACTCTGCCTAAGCCCATCCATATTGGGTGTTCTGTAAGCCTCAGGATCCTCAAACACAAGGAAGGTCCTTAGCACTGAAGGCCTATGGCTGTAAATTTGTTGGACATCTACTAGTACCTAATACCGTCTTTTAAGCTAGGAGACAAAAGTATCCCAAAGTATCTCTTTCTCTATTTTATCATTTTCCATGTGTTACTTTCAAAAGAATCAAATAATAACATGAATTATCCTTTAATTTAGGGATTTTTTTAAAAAGTAATATAAAGTACAAGCCCTATTTTTTTTTAATTTTAGATTCAGCAAACATAAAATTATTCTGCTAAAAATAACAGTAAGTTCCTACTCTCCAACCATCACAAACCAGTAACAGAGCACTGGCAGACCAGCACCGGTCTGGGCCCACACATCAAGATGCATGTCCAAGACAGCGTGCCTGGGTGCAGCTCCCCCAGCGAGCCTCAGTGTCAGCCGGCAATAATATGTTTTGCCCTCTGGACTCAGATAGCTGGTGGCTCTCATCCAAAATGTAATAACAATTTTAAAAGCTTGAAGAGAAAAAAGAAAAAGCTAAATGTCCAACCTTAGAAGAACTGCTAGGTAGTGTCTTACCCACTTGGCTACAACTATTTTAAATCCTTATCATGGACACTATGTACCAGAACTGGAAGATGCTGGTGATACAATGCTAAATGAAAAGCAGCACAGAGCTCAACCGTGGCAGTTCATGCTGGCAAACACTACTACACGGGACCAGCGGGTGGCATAATGGTTACATTGCTGGACTCCCACATAGTTGACTGTGGTTCGCATCCCGGACTTGGCGACTTAAAGCACACTTGGCATGTGTGTACGTGTCTGAAATCTCAAGAGGAAAATGGAGGAAGAGGGATTGTGGTATAGCCAACCACCCTGGGGGGCGATTTCTCACTTTCTGTCTCTCTGTCTCTCTCTGCCTCTCTGGCAAGCACACGTGCCCTATAGTCTTAGTAGATTCCAGGCAGGAAGCAGCAGTGGTGTGGTGAAAGGGTACTTGGGTTGAACATCTTAAAACCCTCCTAGCCCCAGGGCTGGGGGCCAGAGCTAAAGGACTTGGACAACACAGGACAGTGGTTTCCACACTTGCTACAGATTGTAAGCATCCAGAGAGCTTCAAAAACACCAGGACCTGGGTCCACCCCTAGGGACAGAGATTAAACTGATTTGGGCATGTTGACCTTGACTTAGAAAAAACTTTTCTTTTCCGTTTATTTCTTCCATGAGTAAGAAAGAGATGGGAAGAAAGAGAGCACCCCCAAAAGGTCTTGATGCCTTGATTCATCCCTAGCCTCAGCCAGCTCCACATTGTGGACACACACATGTTCAGGGTACGCAGGGGATGGGGGCAGGGGTGTGCTTCAGACACTAACCCTGAACCTTGCCAGGTGGATCAGCATCACAGAACCTCATTTACCACTGCACCAGCCTCCAGCTCCCAGGTTTTGGAACTATTAAAAGATCCCAGGTGATTTGAATGGGCAGACAAGTTTGGAGACTATGGCCCAGAGGGCACATGCAAATGAAGTAGCCTCTTGAGATTTCATTCAGCCCAAGAACAAACTAATAATAACAAACGTCATCACAATAGCTAAGCCCTTGTCGAGTGCCCTTGGTGGGTTGTACACTTTGCCTGGTCTATAACACGATGGTCTCATTTAATCTCAGCACCTGTAACATTTGACAGAGAGAAAATGAGCGTTGGAGAGATAAGCAATTTATCCAATAGAAAGATGAAATGGTGGAGGGGACATTTGAACCCAGGCATTCTTGCTGCAGAATTCACATGTGTTGAAGAGGAGATAAGGCCCTTGGGCAGAGATATGCCTCTTTCCTCTTCTCCTGCCCCCTCTGCTAGCCAACGAGTGCGCTTCTTGAAAGGAAAGTGGGAAGTCAGTTGAGGGCTCCCGCTGGTCCAGCCTGTCTCCCAGGTACTGAAATCCAGGGCTGCCAAGAGGGTGAGGCCAGGGCAGTTATCAGCCACCTGATCACAGTCTCGGGCAGCAGTGGGAAGCAAGGTTCAAGAGGAACTCCTGGTATGACAGGCAGGGGGAGGCACAAATCTGCTCCTCACCTTACCCTGCATCTCTGGGTCTGGAGGTTGTTATCACAGAGGAGTGGCAAGGGTGTGGGGATGGAGAAAGTGAGGGAGGGACGGAAGGAAAGAGGACAGATCTCACCACCAGCCCACACCCAGGGGGGAGGGAAAAGCTGAAGCCCTGGAGTGTATATGTGGGCTTTGGGCTCCTTGAAGCCAGAGCTTTTTGGCCTGCAGTCAGCAGAAATGGGCAGAGATGAGACATGGATTCCAACTCAGACCACCTTCTCTCTGCATTAAGACTGTCGGAACTGGACGCGTGGAGGCCATCAGCCTAATGCTTTCATCCCATCAGAAGGAAACAGGTGCAAAGAGAGGAGCTTGGTCAAGTTCCAGGGTGAGCTGGTGATGTAGCTAGAACTAGAGCTTGGGAATCTTCCCTCCCAATCCAAAAATAATAAAGACACCTATGGGAAATTCCCAGGTAGCCCCCGCACTGTGCAGCCTGAGAGAGCTGGACAGATGGGGAACTCCACCTCCAACCGCTAACAGGTCCTGTGTCGGTGTCTGGCTAGGGAGAGAGGTGGTGCGCACAGGGACATCACGGCGAGTCCTCCTGATTTCTAGGTTAGAGTGGGTGTTTGGGCAGCAACTACAGCCTCGAACTCCTCCCCAAGCCCCAAACTCGCCAGGAGCTCACCAATGATATCCCAGGACTTACCTGGAAACAGGAGGGAGTAGTCAGTTTCCTTCCTGTTTATCAAACCTAGCAGGTGTTCTTGGGCCCAAATATTGTCCAGCAGGGTCTCACGAAGTCACAAAGTCTCAGCAGCTCTGCCAATTCCCATGGCGAGGGTTCAGAGATAATATTGTTCCGGGCATACTCAGGCCCTTCCATCTAGCAGGCTGGAAGTCATGACTACTAACACACCCATTTATAAAGCTGGTAATCTTCTCTTGTCTCTGAGCAAAGGGAGCCGCTGGGCAGGCGTGAAACCAAAGGAAAATAAGACTGCAGGTTCAGCTTGAACTGAGTTCCAAGAGAAACAGCAAGGTCTCAGCCGAGGCATGGGATCGTCTCAGCAGACGATGCTTTCATATGTTGTATCAAAGAGGGAGACAGGACAGGCTCAGATGGCAGGGCTACTCAGTGGTGAGGTGGAGACCGGAATCCCTGGTCCGTGGGGAAATATGAGACCTGCGTAAACGCGCCACCCTCTCAGAACTGCCTCACCTTGCCCGTGGGGAGAGAGCAGAGGGCTGTACGAGCAGAAGGAATTCACAATTTATGATCATTCCTGCCATTTAAAGAATAGGTAGGTTCCAGAAAAGTTGAGTGGAAATAGTAACGACTCTTTGTTCACCTCTCACCAAGCCCCAGGAGTTAAGCAGACAGCATCATTCAATCCACACAACCTCATTTTAGGGATGCTATTTGGGCCGGGGTGGAGAGGGGAGAGGTCAAGCAGATGACACCTGAGCAGCCTAGTTCTAAAGCCCAAGAACTTGTCACTAAACTGTTTTACTTGCAGCTTTATGGGGCAATCCAGAAAGGCTTTGGAGTTAATCTGCAGAAATCTGAATTCTGGCCTTACTAGTTATTTGACTCGGTGATGGATTCACTGACTTCCCTGGGCTTCAGTAATAGCACTGCCTACCTCTTAGGGTAGATTAGAGGAACTGATTCGGAAAAGCTCTTAGCACAGTGCCAGGCCCATACTGAGAGCACTGATTTGAGCACTTCATGTTACATAACTGCATAAAGCACAGCTCTGCTAGCCAGTCTGTGTTTCTGTCCACCTTTCCTGGAAATCAGAAAGTCCATGCGAACAGGAGAACACAGCCCTATGAATACTGTGAGTTAGGCAAGAGGTGCAGAAAAGCTTTGGCTTAATCAACTATTTAAAAGAACTTGGCAATTTCTTGAATCAAGTCAGCCGTCCTCTTCTGTCATGAAGCTAAAGTCTCCTCTCTCTGAGCTTAATTCCCAGCCAAGAAGGGACAGGCAGCTTTTCCTCTTCTCCTTTTCTCCTACTCCTCCTCCTTCAGAGATCTTACTGATCTTCTTTTTCATTTCCTATAGGGAACATGTGTTCACAGGAGAAAGAAAAACCCCACGGAGATGGCCACATCGTAACTCTTTCTCTTCCATTCTCCTCTTGGAATTTTGGGCACATACACACACATACCTGGTATGTATTTCAAACTTCCGCATCCAGAACTCAAACTGTGCAGTCAACCATGTGGGATCCAACACCTTAACCTCCACTCTTTCTGCTGACCCCTATTTTTGTTTATTTATTTATTTATTTATTTATTTTTGAGAAAGCTCTGTACTGTTTTCCACAGCAGTTGTGGGTACCAATTTGCAGTCCCACCGACAGTGCACCAGGTGCTTAACATCACTAAACATCAGAGAAATGCACATCAAAACTACTGTGAGTTCTCACCCCGTACCTGTTAGGACTGCAATGATCAACAAGTAAGATAACAGGGTGTGGAGAAAAGGGAGCTCTTGCACAATGGCTTGTTTTTGAGAGGAGAGCCCCTCTGAGCGCAGGCTGCAGTGGGACAGTCCCCACGCTTCCTCTGCCTGAATTGGACTATTACAGGGACTTGTTTCACAGCAGCACTAGAATACGGTGCTGAAGCTGCAGCTGTAGATGGCGTTTCTCAGCCTGGGGAGCATGTGGCTACCTCACGGCTGCGTGTTTACTTAGCTGAGTTTCTGTGCTCACCCTCAGTGTGTCCTCTCCTCTGTCTACCCGACATCCTTTGCCAGTCCTTCATGCTAGTGAGGACACCACTTTATGACGAAGGGCCTCACAAGCACCCCTTTCCACATTTGCCCACTCTTCTTTTGCTTCTCCCACTTGCATTGCCCCCTGGGGCTTTCTCAGCCCTGCCCTGAACCTCATTCCATCCAAGCATTCTTGATTGTGTGTTCACATCTGGGATGGGGCAGGAGTGACCTGTGGTGGACCATGTGAGGTGCTTGTAGGGTCTCATAACTTAGTGTTGGAAGTATTCTGTCCCACATCACAGTAAACAGACACCCTCAGCAGATGCAACTGTTTTGCTATACAATATTTAAATTTCTATAATTGCTTTGAAAATACATAACTACTGGTAATTCATTTAATTAAAATGAGCTATAATCACTCGACATTTTCAGCTGTCCAGTCTTGCACATGACCGTTTTAGTCCACAGTAGACCATGTAGAAGATGGTGGTCGCTTACGGGGCATATAGGCTATCCCATCTAGCCCAGGTGTGCGGTAGGCCATCCCATCTAGCCCAGGTGTGCGGTAGGCCATCCCATCTAACCCAGGTGTGCAGTAGGCCATCCCATCTAACCCAGGTGTGCGGTAGGCCATCCCATCTAACCCAGGTATGCGGTAGGCCATCCCATCTAACCCAGGTGTGCGGTAGGCCATCCCATCTAACTCAGGTGTGCGGTAGGCCATACCATCTAGGTCTGTGTACCAATTGAATCACTTTATGACGTTTCTCAAAATGCATCCCCGGGGCTTAGCAACGTGTGGTTGTATTTGTAATTGCTTGAAGAGCAAGGACATTTAATCCACAACATTTTTCAAATGTAATGAAGCGTGTATGAATTCGAAATCTTACCAGTTAGGTAAGTTGGTATATGTCATCCAGTGTCCCTTAGATGAAAGAGCCCTGCCCCTCCAGCCCTGGAACTCTAAGAACCTCTCTGTGGAGGTCCCTCCCAGCTCAGGCCACAGCTGTGTGTATGAAAGGACCTTGGGTAGCCCACCGGCAGCAGAGACACAATAACCATGGAATCCAGAATGGAAAATCTACCACAATGTCACAAACACAATGCACTTTATTGAAGATACAGAGCAGAGAATTCCTTGCTCTGAGCCAAGAAGGACAAGTACCAGTCATGGGAAATCAAAGCACCAGCAGGAAGTGGGGACACCGGGGTGGGGAAATGGCTCCCTGAGGCCCTCCCACAAGGCAACAGGACATGTGGCTGGAAGGGAGGGGACTGAGGAGCAGAGGCGGTGACTTGGCCCAGCTGCTGGGCTCTGCCTCCTGCCCTGACCTTGGGGTAGATGATTCTTCAGCCCACTCACATCATCCTTTTCGGCAACTTTTGGGCTGCCATGCAGCCACTGTCTGCTCATGGGCCCAGGTGGGAAGAAGCGGAGGGAAAATGGGGGAAAGCACGCAGAATTGGGGGGAGCTGGTGGGCAATGAGGGGTGGGAATCCGGGAACAGCTCAGACACCCGGTTCAGAATTTGTGGTGGGACCGCTGGCTCTGGGACGAGCTTTGCGAGACGCGGCCCGAGCTGCTGCCACTGCCCCCGCCGCCAACGCTGGCGGAGCACGAGCCCCCAGAACTGGAGATGCCCCCGCGCACCACCGAGCTCCCGCTGGAGCCCCCGCTGCTGCCCAGGCCCCCTTGGCTGGCTCCACAACTGCGGCCTCCGCTCCCCAGGCCCCCGCTGCCTCCGCCGGCTCCGGCCCGGGCTCCACCGGCC